ATTTTAAATGAATATTAGGTGTCTAAATCTCATTAATTAATCTAAATCTCTTTAATTAAATCTAAAATTCAGCTATGTGCTGCTCTGTGAATACAAGTAACAATTCATAAATCTTTACCATACCAACATGGCCCTCCTTTCCTCATTTCCAAACAACCTCACCTTATTTTACCCTAGGCCAATGGTTGGCTTGGTATTCCCCAATATAACAAGCTGCTGCTCTGTCAATGTCTGCATTTGCATTTATCATAACCTGGAATGCTTGCTTGCATCCTTACTGCCTTCATTCCCAAACATCATACTCTGACTTCTCATTTTGCTTCAATTTGCTTTATAGCACTTAGCCTTGTCTAGCATATTTATATATTTGAGTGGTTATTCTCTTTCTTCCAGTTACAACAGGAGAGCCAAAACTATTCAGGGTTATTCACCTATTTTCATCCAGATCTTATGCTTGGCACATATGAAGTGTTCATTAAGTATTGGTTGAATGAATTAATGTTTGGACAATGAGGCAGTAGATGTTTCTGTGTAAAGATCACCTGCATTACACTCAACATCTGCAGGAGCATGGCACAGTCCTTTTAGTCTCTGTAGAAAGATGCCTTGTGATTTTCAAAATGTGAAGAAAGAAGTAAATTGTTGCAAGGATTAAATAAAATAATGTGTGAAAATTATTTGGCAGAATGACAAAAGTTAAATCTTTGATAAATACAATAAACTTATTCCCCCAGAATTCATCATTTCCTGTCACAATGGAAATGTTGGCTTTGGTCTAGTTTAAGGCCATCCGTACCTTAAAGTTCAATCTACTTTTGCTTTCTCGGGGACATTCTACCATCTATTATTCTCCTTTTCCCTCTCATATCCTTAATTTCTTCTCTGTTGGCTTCCTTCTCATCAACTTACCTGATTGATCTAGGGGGGCCCCTTTTGATAATTTACACAAAGTAACTATATTGCCTAGTTGGGGCCCTTCCTTAAAGATTCATGATGAGATGTTTGCATAGTTGCCTACCTACCCTTCTCATAAACTTATAAAATTTCTTGAAATTTCTTAATTTTCAGTGCCCTGTGATTACTCTCATCTCTAAGTTTCTGCCTGAGCCAACTTCTGTCCAGAATGCCTTTACCTTGATGCTCCCTAAGACAGACATACACAGTCACACACATATGTTCATACAAGATATGACTAGCTCATTTCAACTTAAACTTGAGGTCTTGGCATCAGATCCTTCTTTGTGAAGACTCACTGACCCTTAAGCTTTGACTATTCTTCCTGTGTTTCCATACCAGACACTACATATCCCTATCCGCACCTACATCTCACTCTCTATCTCCCTGAATTATAGTTGTTTGTCTATTTGTTTACTTCCCTTATGACACAGAGTTCTTTGAGGACAAGTATTTTTTTTTCATGTTCATCAATTAAATACCAAAATCTGAATGGTAATTGACACATGGTATATAACTAATATTTTTAGCTTGAATTGACAAGTGGAGTAGTTCATTAGAAAGTTACAAGATTGGTTTTTGGTAGTACTGAAACATGGCCAGCCAAGCACTTATTGTTGAATTTGCTTCAGTGTGATAGAGAAAAAATGCGGTCAAGTGTGGCACTTCTTAATTCATCACATATTTGCTATTTGTTTCATATTAGAGGAAAAAATTACTAAAAATGACCTAACATATTGAAACAATGGGATAGGGACTTTAGTAATAGTACTTAGAGTGGTAATATTCACAATGCTATCTAATATATGTGTAGATTTTTACAATTCTAAAAGCCCTTCATATATCCATAAGAAATGCTCTAACCCTGTTTCTGAAAAACATCGAAGACCTGAGTGAAATATAAGACTCTGAAACATGCTTTGGATATTTCTAGGTAAGCAGCAGTTTGGCCTTGTATAAGACAGTATCTGACGGTGAAAATTTCCCACTTTAAGCTGTTTGGCATCAAATTGATGCATCCTAACAAATAACATAACAAACATGTATTCAAATATACCTAGGGTATATACAAAAAGAAAGTTTAATTTAAATCTTTGTGTCATCACAAAGTTGGCAGAGGACCCTTAGTTATCATAACTTACCATTTAATTCCATGTTCTGAATTGAAATGGTGCTTGTTCACTCTTAGTTTTTAATTGACATCATTTCTGCTAGCACTTTCATCATTATTGACAGGAATGTTCTCCCTTGTTAGTTGTCCCATAGCATGCTGAGTGATTGATTGGATTGCTAGGGCAGATTTAAAATGCACTGGCAGAAAAGGATGGTGGTGGTGGTGTATAATAATCTCTGTACCATAGTAGTGGCACAAACTGATTATTTAGGTTTGTTCAGGAAAAATACACTGATCATTTATGTGAATTTTTCACTTTATATACCGATGTCCTGATGGTGAGTAATGAAAACTTTCAAGGAGGCCCAAATGAATGCAATAGTTTTAGAAACCCTCGTTGATTTTACCCATAAAACTCCAACATTTATGGTCAATATTTGGGAAAAATGAATAATTTGACATATAAGAGTGGAAAATTGATGTACTCATTAAATATGTCCATTTTTGGTTGTTTTAACTATGAATATGCAGCCCTTAGATTGATGAAAAGAGGAGTACCTGGGTGGCTCAGTTGGCTAAGCATCTGACTCTTGATATCAGCTCAGGTCATGATCCCACTTTCGTGAGTTTGAGCTCCTCATGGGGTTCTGCACTGACAGCACTGTACCTGTTTGGGATTCTGTTTCCCTTTTTCTCTCTGTTCCTCCCCTGCTCATGCTCTCTCTCTCAAAGATAAGTAAAGAAACATTAAAGATTGATGAAAAGGGTTTTTAAGTGAAAGTTAGAAGTCTCAATTTTTAACTGTATAAGATTTTCTTTTAACATAGAGACAATAAGAGTCACAGCTAAAGCGTGTATTTTCATGAAATCTGAGCTCTTAAACCAGTTTTGCCAAAAAATATTTAAGTCATGGAGCAAGTCAACCAAGAGACACTAAAGTATTTTTACAACTATATAATGAGGGAATAGGTCTGGGTTGGTATTTATTGATATCTTCAAGTCACCTAAGGAGTTTTTAAAAATGCTGTCATCTGGGTCCCCTCCCTGGAAATACTGATTTCATTCATTTAGGTGTGGCAACGGTTTTTAAATTTTGGCTGTTTTCAGAATTGCCTGACGAATTGGTAAATGTATAAAGCCCCAAGCTCTATCTGCTTCAAGGAGCTTGGGCTTTTGTGTTCATAACTTGTTCCCTAAGTGATTCTGATAACATCACAGTTAGAAATAACTGGTCTACAGTTTAACATTGGAAGCTTTTAAAGCCCTTCAAGGTGATGCTCCTTAGATGCAGCCAAGGTTGGAAACCACTGAGAAAAATCAAGCTTAGGATTCTTTCAACTCTATCAGAAATAACCAAAATTGGTAGCTTTTATTGAATAGTTACTGTGTATAAGGCATTATGCTAAGTATTATCTCATTAAATAATCACAAGACCTTTTGAGATAGGTAATAATCCTACTTTGTATATAATTGACATGGAGGTAAGTAATTTAGCTAAGGTCACATGACTAGGAAGTGGTGGATTGGAACCCAACAGTCTTACCTCAAAGGTCATGCAATAAACTACTTCAATAAGTAATTTTTTGGAACTATAAGAGAAGTTGAAAACTCAAATTGGGAACATGTTAGAAGGTACTTACATGATTTTCTTTTTAATTTCTTATTGAAGTGTGATTCACATACAATATCCTTTTAGTTTCAAGTATACGTTACAGTGGTTTGATAGTTTTGTATATTATGAAATGATCCCACCTTAAGTCTAGACACCTTACAAAGTTATTACAATATTATTGACTATATTCTCTATGCTATACATAAAATCCCCATGATTTTTTTTTATAACTGGTAGTTTGTACCTCCTAATCTTCTTCACCTATTTCACCTCCCCCCTCAATCTTTCCCCACTCTTGTAACCAACAGTTTGCATCCTGTATGTATGAGTGTATTTATGTTTGGTTTGTTCATTTGTTTTGATATCACACATAAGAAATTATATGATATTTAGCTTTCCCTGACTTATTTCACTTAGTATAATGCCCTTGAGGTCCACCCATGCTATCTCAACTGGCAGAATTTCCTTCTTTTTTTTTTTTTCAATGACTGAATTATATTCCATTGTGTGTGCATGTGTGTACATATACATATATACATGGTGTGTATATACATCTATCAGTAGACAATTATATTGCTTCAATATCTTGGCTGTTGTAACTAATACTGTAATAAACATAGGAGTGCATGTATCTATTTAAATTGGTGTTTTCATTGTCTTTGGATAAATACCCAAAAGTAGAATTTCTGGATCATATGGTAGTTCTAATTTTTAAGTTTCTTTGAGTAACCTCTGTACTGTTTGCCATGATGACTGCACCAATTTACGTTCCCACCAACAGTATATGAGGATTCCTTTTTCTCTGAGTCCTCACCAACATTTGTTGTTTCTTATCTTTCTGGTAATAGCCAATTTGACAGGTGTGAGTGATAGCTCGTTGTGGTTTTGATTTTCATTTTGCTGATGATTAGTGATTTTGAGTACCTTTTAATGTACCTATAGGACATCTGTATGTCTTTTTTTTTGGAAAAAATTCTATTCAAATTCTCTGCCCATTTTTAAATTGGGTTCTATGTTATTTTGATATTAAATTGTGTGAGTTCTTTATATATTTTGGACATTAACCCCTTATCGGATGTATGATTTGTAAATATCTTCTCCTATTTAGTAGATTGCCATATCCTTTTATCCATGGTTTCTTTGGTTGTTCAAAAGCTCTTCAGTTTGGTAAATGATTTTTCTTATATTTAAAAATATACCTGACTTGTAATTACATAGTAAAAACAAAAGAATCATTAAAAATTAATTGAGAATACAGGAAAAAGAAATTGTTCATTAATTGAAAGAAAGAAGAAAACTAATAGTGAGAAGCAGGTTAGGTTAGGTTTAAATGATTCCATTTATTCTGGAAAGAAGATCACAAACTGTATTGTTACTGTTTGAGAAGCAAGAATAAGTTTCAGATAGATATCCTGACATAGCTCTATTGAGCAGAAAAAGTGGCAACGATTTCAGAGGAAAAAAGAAATTTGTATACTTCTTTGAAATGGTTCCAACTATTAATAATGCAGTGAATTGAAAAAAAACCTGATTTACACTGCATAATACTTCCTTTTATTTCCTTTCTTGTTTGGAAAGATACCAGCTTGATGCCTTCCTAGGCATTCTTTGGACACTGCCATTAGTCCCACTTGCATCTGTAAAGGGGAGAGAGAATGCCTTAGTCAAGTATGTTTTCAGTCCTACATAGAGGAAAGTAGGGGGACTGCCTTGTTGCTCTTGAAACATAGCCTTTCTCAGACTTTGTACATGGGCCACATATGGACAGAGTGCTGATACTTAAATGTTGGAGGAAACATTTCCTACCATGAAGAAGGAGAAGAAGAAGAAGAAAGAAGAGGAGGAGGAGGAGAGAAGGAAGAGGAAGAAAGAAACCCATGAAGAAATACCAAACAGCATTTTTGCACAGTATTAAATTTAATTGCTCCCACTTAGAGAAGGAAACAGTGAGCAAAGTGAGCATTCATTTCCATTGATGGTGTTTCATCAATGACTTGTATACTGAGCATCCACTATATGGAGAACATTGGATTTCCAGCACTCTGGACAGTCTGAGAGATGGTTCCTGATTCTGGTAGCTTTAGTATTCATTATATGATATGCATAAAACGTACATATTCAAGTGTGTCAAAATTGACTGTGTACAGAAAATAGAATAATTACACTTCCAACAAGCCATTGTAAGTCTTAAATAAGATTTCAAATAATAAATGTACAGTGGTAGCTTCCATAAAGTTTAACTCTAAAATTATTTTAGCATTTGATCTTTAAATAATACAGTAATACAAAAAAAAAGTACAAGAAAAATATGTTGTACATATATTGCTCTGAAATCCTCTTGGCTCCTGAAAAAAGCCAACCTTGTAGGAAAATACTAAATAAAGGAAGACAAATAAAAATTGAATTTGGATTTTAGTGTCAAATATTACTCTGATTTCTTTGGGGGAATAGTGATACATGTTTTAAAATGCTTTAGTAATAGAGTGGCATTCGCCTACTGGAAGTGGCGGAAATACAAAATCGCAAGCTGGCACTGACAGTAGAAACCCCTGAAGATAAACAGAGGTTTGTAATGGAAAAGGAACATCAACCTTAACTCTGGCCAGCTATCACAGCCTTGGCAACTATGTGCCTTGATTTCCAGCCAGGACCACTCCTGGGTACCTTAATCACAGAAGCAGCAGCCACATCATATACTAGCTGGAGGAAGATCTTCAAGAGGAAACATTGGGCATTCTCCCTACTATGGGAAAGATCCACATAATATTTAATTCTGTGTCAAGGAAAAGAGGCTGAAATAATCCTAATATTGGGTCTTCGCCCAGATACAAATTTTCAGCAACCTGCACAAAAACCATTCTGGGCAACTTTGCCAGGTCACATCCCTTATCTTTGGAATCCCCAGCCTGGGGCTCCTCGTCAACAAGCTCTGTGAATCAGCCAGGAAACTCCAAACTCCATTTCTCAAAGAAGGCTGAAGCAAGAGGAGGTGCAGAGGAAAGCTCAGGGGCAGTGGGGGGCAGTAGGGGAGGGAGGCGTGGGCACAGGGAGAGGAAGGATCAGGAGGACAGGTCTGACTTCTGACTGGCTGAGGTGGTTTTGGAGAAAGTCGCAGCCCCGGCTCACCAGTCAGGAGCTGTCCAACTTTTCAGCTGCTCCGGTCTCAGGGTTCAGGCGCTCTGGACCCACTAGGCTGCTCTCACTACCACCGCTGCTTTTTCTGCGTCTGGAGCTAACAATTCCTGCTTTCGTCGCAGGCGCCGAAAGGAAGGAAAGAAGAAAGGGAGGAAGGAGGGACTGACTGTTAGTGAGGCAGCGCACCGTGCGCCCTAGTCTTGGTGAACTGGGGAGCCCAGGAGCGTGTCTCTACCACAACCACTGTGGAGGGAGCCCTGTCACGTTCTGTGACCCCTCCCGCTGGCAGAGCCCCCTTTCGGTCGGCCTGAGCCTCTGGTGGCTTCAAGTGAGAAGCTGAGCCCAGCCTCTGTTCAGCTCCAGAAGCAGCGGCGGCGGCGGCGGCAGCAGCAGCAGCGGCAGCAGTATCCGGGAGGCGCTCCGGCCAGCGCGGTGAAACCGGCTGGGCAGCAGGGAGCAGAGCTGTGAGCCAGGATGGAGGCAGAGGAGAGCAGCGTGCCGACCCAGGCGGGCAGCGGCGAGGGCAGCGACGGCGCTGGAGGGGCTACACTCAAAGCCCCCAAGCACCTCTGGAGGCACGAGCAGCACCACCAGTACCCGCTCCGGCAGCCCCAGTTTCGCCTCCTGCACCCCCATCACCACCTGCCCCCGCCGCCACCGCCCTCGCCCCAGCCCCAACCCCAGTGCCCGCTGCAGCCGCCACCGCCACCCCCCCTGCCACCGCCCCCGCCACCTCCCGGGGCCGCTCGAGGCCGCTACGCCTCGAGCGGGGCCACCGGCCGCGTCCGACATCGAGGCTACTCGGACACCGAGCGCTACCTGTACTGCCGCGCCATGGACCGCACCTCCTACGCCGTGGAGACCGGCCACCGGCCCGGCCTGAAGAAATCCAGGATGTCCTGGCCCTCCTCCTTCCAGGGACTCAGGCGGTGAGTGGAGAGCGCCCCCTCCCCCATTCAGGCACGGGGTCACCTCCCCAGTTACCAGATTCTCCTCGTTGCTCTATTGATCACTAGCAATCCAGGACCCAGGACTAAATTCTATTCCAGGAATTGAGGGAGGGAAAGCAGGGGCGTGTCTGTCCTTGCTTGAGAGGGTCAGGATTCAGGTGTGTGTAAGAGATCCTGAAAGTACAGTATAAATGGTTGTGTGCGTGTGTGTGTGTGTGTGTGTGTGTGTGTGTGTGAGAGAGAGAGAGAGAGAGAGAGAGAGAGAGAGAGAGATTGACAGAGAGGGAGAGAATGAAAGATTTCCAGTTGTCTGTACCACTCCCCACCCCCTCCCCACCCACTTCAGTCCCACCCCAGCAAGTGGGACTTAACAGGAAGAATTCAGTTTGCTTGGGTGCAGTACAGGAAGAGTGAAGGAAAGGAGTGGGGTGTTGAGCCAGGGAGATTCTCAGTAGTCAGTCGACTCCCCCCCAGAGTGAGGGGGGTTGGTGGGGCAGATCTGATGGTGACTAGGAATGGGTGAGACAGCTTGGTCCCAGGATTGCAGCTAAAAGGCTGAGACCAATTCCCTTTCTCTTTGTCAAGTTGGGAAGTAAATTGAACAGCTAAACGGGAGAACAAACACGTGGGTGACTTGGAGAGTTTGGAGCAAAATGTTCAGTAATCCTCAGGAGAGGGATGAGTGAGGGATGGAAGGAGGGAGCTGAGGACTCTGTGGGAGTTACACTGTGTCGGTATGTGGTGTGTGCAGGCTGTATGTGTATCCATCCAGTTGTCTTTGCAGAATCTCAGGAAGAAAGTACCTCGTTTTATTTAGCAGCAGGAAAGATGCAGAGATTTGATTACAGTGATTTCCCCTTAATGTAAAGTGCTCCGGAAGAGAGGGCAAGGAGGCTGCATATCACCCAGAGTTTTAATAGAAGCCAACTGCTCCTTTTCCAAGGAACTGAGTAGTGTAAAGAACCAATTATAGCTGCTTTGAGAAGTCAGCTCAGATTCTTAAGTCAGGTATGGAGGTGGAAGTTGGGCCCTCTCCCTGCAACCCAGCAACAGATCCTTTCTTCCTTATTCCAGGCCCTCCAAGGCAGGAAACCCCTGCCCCACACAGATGCACACAAATAAGGTTTCAGGAGATGCTGGCAAAGTAGAGCTGTCATCATCCAACCTCAAATGTGGGCAGGCATTGATAGAATACGCATCCAAGCCATACATCTGGCTGATGGGTTATTGTAAACTGTAAATCAGGTTGGGGTGCAGAAACAGGAAAACCTGAGGCTGGGATTTTCGTCTAATTGTTAGTGACAGTAGGTTGGGTTTATCAAAAAATATTAATAGTGTTTAAATGTCTGTCTTTCTCTTCTTCCTCTTCCTTCTTTGTTCCCTCCTCCCCCCCCCCCCATCTCTTTCTTTTTTTATAAGCATGTCTCTGTGTCTTGTGTACACTATGGTCAAAGGAAATCCAGCCAAATAGAATATCCCAACCCTGATGTGCCCACATTCTCCTCATACCCTTTGCCTTCCTCACACTCAGTCAGTGGACATTTTTCATGCTGATGTCCTTATACCTGTTAGATAAAAATAAAGAGAATTATGGTTAATAATCACAGCTTGGTTCAATTTAAACTTTAAAGATTGGTGTGATTTGCAAACATTCATAAATTAATATGCAAGTTTCATTTTACACCTCAAAGTGCTAAAACCCACATGCTGTGTTACCCTTTGTTTGAAAAAGTGAATGTCTTCCACTTGTGTTGAGCACTAGGTATGTGGGTCCCCGGTGGTGGAATAAGGCAAACATGGCACTTTGAATATTTGACCTGTTAAAATTTGTGAGACTGGGGCTTTAACAAATATGGAATAAGAACAAGGGTTCTCGATTAATCTGTAGGTTGATTGACGTTGTAGACTCTCTTAATTAAATTCATTTTTTGATAAAATAGAATATGTCTGAGAAGATGGAGAGGGAGAATAAGCTAATTGGAGTAGAGGTATTGCATCACTGATTTGAATTTATTGTTTGCTGTCCTCTCTACACTAATTATTTTTCTCTTTGAAATTTAATTGAATGGTTCAAAGAAACCTAAAGTTATGTAATATTTACCCATAGCTTCCACTGTAGCTCATCTGATAAATCGTTGTCATTCTATTTAAGAATTATTAGACTTACAGTTCTTTATATCGCTTAGGTATTTCCCAAACACTCATGCATTGCATGTCAAACTTTTCCTTATTAGAAGTGCCTTTGCAAATAAATGTACTTTTTAAGAGGGACATGGATATTAATTTCATTCTTTAAAGACAAGGGTAGCAATGCTTTAAAATTATCAAAAAATCACGTTTATTAACTTACTCAAACCTATTGACGGTACTGAAATGAAATGATATTATCTCCATTTTATAGATAAGAACATTGAGCTCTAGAGGATATGAGTAACTTGTTCAGTAGCACATTGACTATGAGTGCCAGAGCTAAGACTGAAACCCAGGTCTCCTGCCTCAGCAAAGACAGTGGGTGCTCCAAAAATAAATGTGCGCAGAACCTGGGCATGTTGACAGCATCAAGAAATATATAAAACCAAACATGAAGTTAATATTGATTGATACCACAGGACATAAAGTCCAAATAAACAAAAAATGAGATATGGTTTAAATCCTCTTAAAAAAAAAACCGCATAGGCTCTGGAAGTGATGAGAAATTTTAACTTTTATTTTTAACTTTTGAAATCCTGGCTGTTACACTGGCATTAATTATCACAATAGAGGCAAACCAGTGTATTTGTCGACTTCGTATATTTCATATAATACAATAATAAATATGAAACGGTGTTCAGAGAATTAAAACTAATCAGAGCACTTCTTGTTGTTTCCAATGATCTTCTAAAAGGGACCAAAGTGTGAGACATGTGCAAATTGTGTGTGTGTGTGTGTTCATGTGTGCATGAGCCATCATTCACATGGAGGGCTTAAGTTGTCTGTCAAGTTAATGTCTCTGAAAATGCCTCATGGATGGATGGATGAGTGATTCCCTATGCACTACCAAGAAAAAGATGTCCTTTAAAAGGCTATTTTTAGCATGTATACCAGCATTTTCAGATCCTTTTATTGTCTTGACTGAAATTTTGAAAATTAGAGTACCTGAAGCAATGAAAAAGAGCTGTTCTTGGTTTAATGAGGAAGTTTATGAAATAGGAAGGAGGCAATCCTCAGATATTTTGTGATGAGTTATTTTGACTCTGTGGAAAACATAGGTATGTTAAATAAATTTTGTATTAAGTTACATCTAAGAAGATAGATTGACTTTTTAATCTTAACATAAAAAATTTGACATAATAAAATTATGAGGATTGAATCTCAATGTTACCAAGAAAACCAAATGAAATATAAAAAAAAACCCATATATATATCATATATAAACCATATACATTATCATATATAAACCATATATGGCGCCTGGGTGGCTCAGTCAGTTAAGTGTCCAACTCTTGGTTTCAGTTCAGGTCATGATCATACAGTTTGTGAGTTCGAGTCCTGCATTGGTCTCTGCACTGACATTGAGGAGCCTGCCTAGGATTCTCTTTCTACCCCTCGTTCTCTGCCCCTCCCCCACTCATGCCCTGTCTCAAAATAAATACATAAACTTAAATAAATATTTAAATTTATTTATATATATATATATAAATTTAATCACTTGAACTTTAGTTCTTCAAAGTGTAATAATTGCTTAACTGAACTGATAAAGTACTTACTTATTTCTTTGACTTCTTTTTACACAACAAAACATTTTCATCAGTAATGTGCTTTACTAAATCTGCAGTAACATGGGGCAACTGAATGGCTCCGTCAGTTAAGCATCCGACTTCGGCTCAGGTCATGATCTTACCAACATGGGTTCGAGCCCCACTTCGGTCTCTGTGCTGACAGCTCAGAGCCTAGAGCCTGCTTCAGATTGTGTCTCCCTTTCTCTGCCCCTCCCCCGCTTGTCCTCTATCTTTCTCTGTATCTCAGAAGTAAATAAAAGTTAAATCTGCGATAACAATATATATTCTCAATAACAAAATGGTCAACATCATTAATCATCAAGGAAAAGCAAATAGAAGCCACAATGAGATTTCACCTCACACCTGTCCGATTGGCTATTATCAAAAAGAGAAGAAATAACAAGTATTGGAGCAGATGTGGAGAAAAGGGAACCCGTATACACTGGTGGGAATGTAAATTGGTGTAGCCACTATAGAAGACAATATGGAGCTTTCTGAATAAACTAAATGTAGAACTGCCATTTGATTCTTAATAAATTAAATATAGAACTACCATGTGACCTAGGCTTCTATTTCTGGGTATTTATCCAAAGAAAATGAAAATACCAATTCAAAGAGATATATGCATTCCTGTATTCATTGCAGCATTATTTACGATAGCCAAGATAGAGAAATAAACTGAGTGTCCACTGATAGATGAATGGATAAGAAAATTGTGATGTATATAGATATAATGGAATACTATTCAGCCATAGAAAAGAATGAAATCTTGCTATTTGTGACATAAATAGGCCTTGAGGGCGTTATACTAAGTGAAATTAGTCAGAGAAAGACAAATATTATCTATCTTATATTTGGAATTTAAAATAAAACAAAAATGAAGCTCACACATGCAAAAAACATGGTGGTTGACAGAGGTGGGATTGGGATTAGAGAAATGGGTGAACTGGTTTTTTGTTCTTAGTTTAAATAAATTGAAAAAAACAATTAAAGTTGGAAAGTCAAGGGGCACCTGCCTGGTTTAGTCAGTAGGTGCCTCATCTCAGGATTGTGAGTTTGAGCCCCAAGTTGGATGTAGAGATTACTTAAAAAAATTTCTTAAAGAAGAAAAAGGTTGGAAATTCATATAGTATAGATGATTCCTTGAGTATAATGAAAATATTCTAGATGACATAGATGTAAATATCAAGAAGGTAATGTTTGATTAAATTATTTCATAAAA